AAATTTACAGCCGTCAGTCATAATTAGGACTTGTGGCTTTTACGGTGGTGATTCCGAAGATGGCTGTCTTGTGGGTTGTAACGACGTGTAGTCTGATAGAGAACAACTTTACTGGATTTTCAGAGGTCCTTGCTGCCTGCATCATCAGGGCGATAAGTTACTCCATCTGAATCGTCTTCTTGTAACCATCATCCTTTTCAGTTCCCTCTTAAATTTTCAGTCTATCAGAATCGTCATGAAATTCGAGGCACTCAAGGCGATGAGGTTGTGTCCATATTGGTCTTCTAGCTCGTAATTCCATTTAGACTTGTATGCAGATACGAACGTTTCGGAGGACCACATCGCATACTTCTTCAGGACTTATCTTCATTGTATTTTTCTTTTCTTGCTACCCAGCTTTTTATTCTTACCCCGTCTCATTGGAATCCAAAATATTTCATGTTTTATCCTCACCACTGTTTTTATGTTAATTGTCATTAATTATTTGATGTCTTACCTGATTTCACCTTGCCACCGTTACAGAATCTCAAAAAATTAGGTTATGCTCTTCAGAAGACCCGTTTTCCCCTGTTTCGCCCCCATTTTCTGTCTCAAGTTACGAGTTTGTGTGTAATTTGCTAAATCTCTCAGTTCTGCTGGTGGAGAAGTAGGTTATCGTAAACTGACCAACAGGTGGACTGGCCGGTGTCTCTGTCGTCGTACAGGATATGACCGTTCGTGCTTCCGCTCCGTGTAATGTAGTGGATGCATTGCGTTTCATGGCCGACGTGAACCAGTTTACTTATAAAGCGTTGAACAACGTCTGTATTTTGTAATACTGAAAAGAGTGTTTTTAAATATAACATCATGAAAAGCATTTGAATATGGATGTACTGCAGTTAGCGACCACATAGTGCACGACGGAGTACAGTGGTACTAAGTGCTTCACTCAGTCGGCGAAATGCAAGAAATAGTGAAGAGACAACGATTGGTGTTGAGATGCTAGTGTCTTATCCACGCGTTGAAATCACTTTGTTTAAGTTTGACGTTCGGGCAAACTGTATCGTGTTATGTTGGCTGAAAGGGGTTTTGTTTGCAAAGGAAATTGAAATGCTGTTGTAATTGAACACGATTGTGAAAATTTTAAACTTACGAACGAAATTGTTCAATATAAGCGCATGGGATTTGAGTTTTTGACGGAGGTGAAAATGTGGACTGTAGTGTTATGAGCTATGACGCGTAATCTTATAGGTGATTACCAAAGTTCCAGAGGAACGTACCGCTTCCTTCTTTAAGGCACGAGCGTGAAGATAACGTTAGATTACAACACAGAAGATCACATACAGTCCACTAAAATATTACTTCTATAATTTTAATTTGTTTTGGTGTGTGTTCTGACGTGTTGTAATAAATTCTTGTATTTATGGATTTTTTGCTTACGAGTGTCATTTGTTTCCACTCTTAATTGGAGCGATACATTGCTCCGAAAGTTGGTAATTACATACAAGACCACATAGCGTCGTAACCCAGAAGACCACAGTCTATATATTCTGTATGATGTTTGTTTTAACTCAAAATTTTAACAGGGGAAACCGAACGTTTGCGTACGTGAATCATATGAAAGCTATATTTTTTGAAGATTTTTAATGTTATTACATGTTTAGCCAATTTTAGAAAGTTTAGAGAATTTTTAATTTTTGGAGATTTTCTGCAGATTCTTGAAATTGTTGCAATATTTTCAGATGTTGAAACAATTAGTAAAAATCTGCAATAAATTAACACCTAGGTCAGTGACATACGTATAATCGCAAGAAAGAGATGTGTACTTTAGAAGAAGGCTGTCTTCTGGGTTGTAGAGCTGTGGTGTCTGGTTGAAATTTACCGACGTTTCAGAGGTACTTCCTGCCTCATCCAACTTTTGAGATGTCGGTAAACTTATACCAGACTACGCGGCGTTACAATATATTTTTTACGTTCTTCCTCGTTAGTAGGACTACACGTTAGTGGTTTATTCGGACACATATCCTTTGCTGGCTGTGAAGTAGCTTTGATGGAAGTATACAGACCGAAGTCCTGAGTGCTTACGTGGGCTCCTTCATTTCCATATGAACATTGATAATCGACGAGTGTGATATATGATGTTTCCATGGTTCAGCAAACAGAGATCATTATTCCATACGAATAGACTTCTCCATGACAACAATCCTTTCATATCGGCGTATCGGCTGCAGGAACAATGCAGACAGGTGGGTGGATTTGGGATGTGTTAAAATATTGTCAGGTGTTGGATTACTGATGTACTGACGTATGAAGGTGTAAGTGAGATTTGAGGTTTTCACGGCAACGATTATGACTATTGCTGTCTTCTTGGATGTTGCCCCGGAATTGACAGACATTTCAGAGGTGCTTCCTGCCTCTGTCATCCGGGTCTGATGATGGAGGCAGTAAGCACCTCTACGATATTACAAGGCGCAACTTCAAATAAGACACTCATCCATTCACTACCTTCTTTAGCTGAAGCCTTTAGTATGGTTTGTCACGCCTTCCGTTCGTATTGGAATGTCGTGTTTTCTCCTCGGACTTATTAGTTGCAATGAATATGGTCGTACTACTTTGTGATGTTCTTTTGTCTGCGCGTGAAGGAATGACGGTGGAAGCAGATATTGGTAGTGCTAGGCGAGGTAATGTCAGCTTAGCTACAAACCTGTTGGTGAACGCAAACATTAGTATAGTGCAATTCGTTGGTATCACGACGCTAAATTCTATAAATTCTACGAACTGAACCTCTCGCCCCTTGAAATGTTTGGTGTGTACTCGTTAAGATTTTCTGCGCAGCTAGAACTCGGCTCTCGTCACAAAAGAATCGGATTGTGGCTGCCCAGACTGTTGCAGTATCTGTTCTTATCTCGTCGACATTCTTGTCTAATGTCTGTGCGATGTTACCAGATAAACAGGAAGCAGTAATGGGGTTATTAGGGCGAAACTGGGAAAGCATTGTGGCTTGGGACATTAGCGTAAGAGTGCTTTTGTTGTCAAACGAGCAGCAAGGAACACAATTTCTGACTTGGACAAGAGTTTGTCTATTCGCCACCACGTCCACACTGGCCTTCTCATTTCGTTGCTAGCAATACGAGCGTCATGAAGTGGATGCCATAAGCTAAGACGCTAACATTTTTACCGCGGTAAAATAATTTATTACGCATCGTATATTTTGAGTTCAGTTAAAAATGCAAATTTTTGCTTTTAAGCTGTAGACGCGTTTGGGGGCTTTGCAGGTCTGTATTTATATTGTCGTACTTGCTTTGCTACACTTAATAGTTATCTCAGCTCTAACGATTATCTCCAATGGTTTCACTGTAGCCTCTACTAACCCACAATTGCGTTACTGTTACAGTTGCTAGCAATACGAGCGTCATGAAGTGGATGCCATAAGCTAAGACGCTAACATTTTTACCGCGGTAAAATAATTTATTACGCATCGTATATTTTGAGTTCAGTTAAAAATGCAAATTTTTGCTTTTAAGCTGTAGACGCGTTTGGGGGCTTTGCAGGTCTCTGTTTATATTGTCGTAATTACTTTGCTTGGGTTTTATTAAATCCAATGGTTTCACTGTAGTCTCTACTAACCCACAATCACGTTACTGTTACGTATCGTCTTATTGTGATCTGGGTTGTACAAGCAACAATGGTTAATTATGTTCTGTGGCATGAAAGGTTCTCACGAACCTATTTACCTGCCTCCTCTCCTCAACGTTATTACAATTTTAATTTGTTGTTTTAATACGTCAGAACTGACGACAGTTCTTTCCCCTTTTAGGTTAGGTTCACTGCTCCATATTCTTAACACTGAAACACGATTCTCACGAAAACTCTTAACTTATTCGTAGATGTTTTAGATGTGCTGCATAACGATTTGGACGAGGCTGCCGTGCCTATGCATTTATAAACGCACGTGTTTGAAATGTGGTATTGTTATGCAGCCGACTTCTTATTTCTTTGCTACTGATACGTCGTTGCCCTAATTGTCCTTTGCTTTCGATATTTGTACTGGTATTTTTGCACGTGCTTTAAATGAAGGTCTGTTTACGAAGCGACGTTAGGAACATGGTTGCTCATTTAGTGGCTGGACACTGGATTACCAGAGTTCGGTTTCCGACAGTTAAGAAATTTTTCTCTTTGGTTATGTGTGCAAACCAGTTCTTCTGTTGGTACCAGTGGCTCTCTTCTCAGAGTAAAGTGACCAGCTGTGAAAATTATTACCTTCTACTTTCACTGCCTGGATTTTTCCTCCAATCCCCATATACGCTTTGAGGTTAGGTGAAGGAGGCCTGTTATTTGGCACTGGGTAACTTTACTGTTTTTCTCAACCCTTGGTCCGCCGATATTTTAGTTTTGTGTGATTCTCTGTGTAAACAGCGTAAACCATTTGATCTCTGTAATGGCGATCCTGCCTCTGTCATCCGGGTCTGATGATGGAGGCGTAAATATTAGACGAGTTAAAGTGAGGTTGATTATGGACCTGAGTCTGGAAAATGTTATGAACCTTGGAAACTCTGCACTCAGGAACTAAATATACCTGTTCATTCTAGTTTAAATGATGACATTGTAATTAAGTATTACGTCTAGTTCAAGCAATATGAATTTACATGTCTACATTATATGCGGTTGATTATGGACCTGAGTCTGGAAAATGTTATGAACCTTGGAAACTCTGCACTCAGGAACTAAATATACCTGTTCATTCTAGTTTAAATGATGACATTGAAATTAAGTGTTACGTCTGGTTCAAGCAATGTGAATTTACATGTCTACATTATATGCTTACAGGGTTGTCATTCTTTTACAAAATTTACTTTATATTTTTATGAACTTTGTATTTTTCACTGGTAACTGTGTTTTGGGAATTTAAAATTTGTATCGTTTTGGTACCTGAAAAAATGCCTAGTAATGAATGCACATCAGGCATGCCCCCGTTGGCAAATGATTGATGAGATTTTCCCATCTGTTTCTCTTTGTTACAGTCAACAGATTCATGGGTGGTTGTCCACAACTTGCAGTCACAGTCAGATGGAGGAATTCTTGACCCCGATGATCGTCTCAATGATGTGGCGGACGACCGTGAGCAGATCATTGCAAACTTTGAAGATGGTGATGGACAGCATCACGGAGGGGGTGATGGTGCTAGTGGGAGCTCTGTAGGTACGGGCAGTCCGGACATCTTCCAGGTTTGTACTCAGTGTCTTGTAGTTTGTGGGGATATTTGGTCTGCAGAATCAGTTCTGCAAAGTGCATCCGTGTGGAGACTTTATAGTCAAAATTAGTTTTGTTGGTTGTAACACTGAGTCCGGACATCTTCCAGGTTTGTACTCTGTGTCTTGTTTGTGGGGATATTTGGTCTGCAAAATCAGTTCTGCAAAGTGCATCCATGTGGAGACTGTTATAGTGTGTCAAAATTAGTTTTGTGGGTTGTAACACTGTGTACATGTAGGTAGATACCAGGATTTTGGAAGAATATACTGCCCCAACGTCCAGCATCAGCAGCTCCACCATTATTAGAACTTCAAATCTCATATATTGTGTGTGCTAATTTTATTGTTGATCCCAGTGGTCCGATATGACTAACATACTTCACATAAAGCTAAAAACCCTTCTGTTCCTGCTACCTCTTCAACATAGGCTGATCTTTACCCCGGTCCTTAACACACATTTGCGCGCGCAAATGCACACACACTTCATTGGTATCTCTGATGCAACAGAAATATTAAAACTGTTAAGCACACTTTCGAAGTATACTAGAATATCTGTGAGTGGGCAGAGAAGAAAGGGAGGCTGAACAGGGAAGTAGTATGAGAAGAGAGTAGATCGCCATGAAAGCAAATGAGTAGAATACAAATTGTTTTCATTACCATCTTACAGAATAAATGTAACTGCATTGTACTCCAGGGAGAGAAAACAGAACAGAAAATGTTACTTTGTACATGTGGCAACACTGGAAGAAAAAAACATCAGACAACACACCCTGTTCTTAATGCTGGATGCACCACAGTAAGATAATGTGTGTTCAGTTTTTTAAACTGTACACAGAAGCATTTGTATTTTCCTATGTTGATTTCTCTGGGTACAATTACTTATATGCTTACAATATTGTAATCCAGCCTTGTGTGTATATTAAGGTCCATTGTCCTCCGCTGTCCCTTTTCAGAGTGAAAATTCAAAATTTCAGCCATTGTCTCGGACTGACATTGAGGTGACGGGCGAGCAGATTGCATCAGGTTTGATAGCAGCACCGCTTCAAGTTCGAAGGGGTAGTGAACCTGCATTGAACCAGCTGGTACCAGCTGTAGGAGGTGTGCCACCCCCTGTACCTGGTACCGGCACTACCGGTTGTGCCAGCGCAGGAAGTGGTTCTGGTGCTGCCTCTGCTGCAACAGATCCTTCCAAAAGATGGTCAGCGACTCCAATTATAGTGGATGACGAAGATGAAGTGAAGGAGAAGCGATCCTCTCACCGGAAGGTGAGCTAGTGAAATAGGGCTGAACCCTCAATAAATGGCAGCATTGAGATTTATTTCCCATATTTTCAGTTCAAGTTAAATTGTTGTTATTATTTTCCATGACCAGTTTAAAGTGATTTGTTTTGCATTAATATAGAATTTTCTGTAAATTAAAAAATTATGTATTCTAGCAATCAAGGCTTGTATTATGTTGATAACTTGTACTAATAGACTTGCTTCAATGTTATAATTTTTTAAATATTGATGTTAACATGTTGGCAACCCCATTAAATCTGTTTCCTCTTAAATTAATTTGTAGGTAGAGTGATCAGATATCTAACAAATATAATGATATTGATAGATCATGATGCAACAGTGATGTATGAAAGGAACAGTAGGAGAGGGGCCAATAAACTGAAAGAACAGATTTGAAGAAGTTCCCACACTTCGTAGTTTGAAGTTAAATGTGCAGAAACCATTTAAATTTAGAATGTTGCAGCACATTGGTTGGGAAGCATTAGTGTAACAAACGAAAATTCTTAACTTGGTACAGGAGGGGAGTCGTGGTGGAAAGCTCGGTAATGGCTACCTCTCTTCTGATTGGTCGTGCTTGGAGAAGGTCACTGATGAAGAAGAGTGTTCATCCTCGGGATTCACTCGATTTGTACGTGATGGCTCAAACCGTTTGTCAATGCAGTTCCTTGGTGATGGAGCAGGAGGATTCAGGTGGGCTGATGCAGCTGAAACAGCAGCCATCACATCGGGACCTGCTGTTAGAGGTCAGTCGAAATCTCTGCCAAGAGATCATCGAAGAAAAGAGCCACTAGGACAAGCAAATTCTACAAGTCCTGTTCTTCGTACAGCACATCACCACAGCCATAGTCACGTGGTCCACGATTCTGATATCGAAGATGACCTCAATTCTGAAAGGTGAGCCAAGAGCTTTATTGCTTCTAGAGTAACTTGCCCTTATATTTGTGTCAGGCCTTTAAGTTACAAGCTATGTATATACTGAAAGTTCAGTACACAAATATTTATTTTTCTGTTGGTATCAGCGTGGAGTACGTAGTCATGCACAATGAGAGTGGGCCACTGGGAATCCATGTTGTGCCAGATTACGATCGCCTGGGTAAAGATCGTGGGCTGTTGGTGCAGGGTATTGAACCAGGTGGACGGATAGACCGAGATGGCCGATTAGTAGTGTATGATCGAATTATTGAGATCAATGGCCAGAACTTGCTCAACATGCCCTTTCAAAGGTAAGACATGATGGATAAATGTATGTTGTTTTAGATATTTATACAAATAGTTGAATCCAAATGTGGGATCTGATGTATGTACCATAATGTCCTAAAAATAAATTATCATATGTAGTAAGTACAAAGTATCAGAATAACTGAGAACCCTTGCACAGGGTCCAGGAGATCTTCAAAGATTCCCTCCGTTGCCCAGAGCTGCAACTGAGGGTGATCAAACACCACAGTAGTGCCATGGATCACACCTTCAAGAAGCCTCCCCCTCCCGTCTTCCCACGCTCCATCAGAGGGCTTGATGACAGGGAGAACATCGCCATGGTTGAAGGGGAGGAGCGACGTAAGTTGATATTTACTGGTTTCCATTCTTATGCGGAGTATGTTTTTAAGAAAAATCTGCTTATTGCACATATCTGTAGGACCTGTAATTTGTAGTAATAAATGGTTTCAACTGTAACATAAATCACTACAATGGCTACTGTAATTGATGAAACTATCAGTCCATAACTGAAATGAGAGAGTACCATTTCCATGTTCCAAATTATACTGTCAGTATCATCTCACAAGGCCATTTTTATGTAGGATGAAAGACTGTTTGCTAGAAAAACATTTCCATGTTCCAAATTATACTGTCATTATCATCTCACAAGGCCATTTTTATATAGGATGAAAGACTATTTGCTAGAAACAAAATTAATAGAAATGTGTATTTTATTTAAAATATTTGTCTTTAAATTTTAGTTCACAGATTTTAGTTGGAGCAAAAGTCCCTATCAATATTTAATAATTTTATGAGAGAAAATAAATATTGTGGTATTTATTATATTTATAAGCTTCCATTATTTATTTTCTGCATTAATTTTATTTTCGTACTGTCGGATCATTCCCTTGAATGAAATTTTTTTGGGAAAATTCTCTTTTATAAAAATAGGTTATGCAGTTTGAATACCGAGGATTCCTAACATTAAAAATAATATTTTAAAATCATTCCTATTTTCCAGTGCTAAGATTGTTGGTCTTAATTTCATACAGATGGTTTACATTGGTATCAAAACAATGGATGTTGCACATGTATTAAACACATACATGTTATTGCAGAAAGAGAGGTTGGTCTGCTACAGTTTAAAGTGGATGCCATGTTCCTAGTGGATCTTTACAGTAGTCACTTGTTCTTTATGTTGATATATTACATTGCAGCAGAGAGTATGAGGACAAAGATTGCAACTGTCTCTCCAACTAAGAAGGTCTCCCCTGCTCCTCGTAATACAGCAACCAGCTTACAGACTGCCAACACAAGGAAAATTGGTCGCAAAATTGAATTAGAATTGACCAAAGGGGTGTACGGCCTTGGCTTCAGTATTACAACAAGGGACAATCCTGCAGGCGGCAACTGTCCTATATACATCAAAAACATCCTGCCAAAAGTAAGAATGTAGTGTAAAAAGTAAACTGGAGTTTCTATGCTGAAAATATCAAAGTCAGCCATTGGACATAACCCTGATCCCATTCAATGCATGTCACATATGAAATTACTAACCTGTCACACTCAACGTTCACAATGTGTACCACTATTCTTTACTATACCAAGTGGTACAATTGTCTGAAACAAATAAAATCCACATAACAACATATATCATTAATCTCGCATATCGCACTTTGTTGAAATCCATTAAGCTGTATAGGAAGAAAAACTTTGAGATTGACCAGCAGACTGTCTCCATTTTCTGCGTTCACTTTTGTACTGAGTTAAAGCCAAGAGCTGGTTTGTTGTTGCCAGGGTGCAGCAGTTGAGGATGGAAGACTGAAGCCTGGAGACAGGCTTCTAGAGGTGAATGGAGTCGAAATGACTGGCAAGACACAATCAGAAGCTGTTTCAGTTCTACGTAATGCTCCACAAGGCAGCAAGGTGTCTATAGTTGTGTCCCGTCAGGAAGATTCCAGCACAAGTCCTAGACTGCCCCGACAAATCGTATGTATTACCTGCGTGAAATATTTTTATTCTTGGGTCGAATACATAATCATGTGAATAAAAAAGGCATATCAACAAACCCTGTTAATGCGAGTACACATTTTCCTTAATAATGGGGCATTTTGTGGATTGAATGACTAGTGCTGTATTGAAGTGTTCTCCGTTAGTAATTTGGCATTCTCAGTCCTTTTGACTTTCTATTTAAGTTGCCACAACCCATGTTTGTAATGTAAGGAATTCCTCTTTTGGCAGGAAGGGAATGTACTCTGCTATGGAATATTGTTCGTATGTGGCGGTGGCATTTGTGAGTTAATGTGTCTGTATGTTTATGTATAAATGTGACATATATACTGCTTATGATGCTTAGTTGTGGACACTTTCAGTTTAAAATGTGTTTCATTGTTTTATTTGTAGCATCTCTTGAATAATTCTTCTGATATAACTGGTTGTTTATCAAAGAGAAACAACAGAAATTAACTATAACAGTTGAATCACCTGGAACATACTGTCTCCATCTCCAAGCCTGAAATTGTATTTATTTTTCTGCAAAAATGTACATACATTCTTATGATAAGTGATACATCAGAAATTGTATTTATTTTTCTGCAAAAATATACATACATTCTTATGATAACCTGGTATATTTCTGATGACACATGAATTTTACTCAGAAAGCACCGTCTATTTGTGTATGTGAAGTGTGTTTTCCTATGTTGCTTCATATTAAGGTAATTCAAAAATTAAACGCATTTTAAGGCAATCACACGGTAGTTAAATGTATTAACTTCAACACATGGTACTGTGTATGGCTGTCCAAAACATCCATCATCAACACTTGCCCAATCTCCCTTGAATCTTTACACACATTTATGAATTTCACCTGGATCATACAGTTATCACCATACTAAACTATTTGCATTTGTTTGTAAATTTCACAAATTTTCGTACTCTTTGACCACAAAAATCAAATCACAGATAATTATTCTTCTTTGGTTCATTTTATCCTTGCAGCATCTATGTTAAATATTTCACAGGATTATCACTACTTAAAAACATTGAAAACCAAAGCGGTGACAAGTGAGGAAATGTTGCTATCATTTGTATCCACCATTCCATCTTTTTCAGTGCTGCCAACATCACTTTTGAGGTAAACTAAAATTGCTTTCATTTTTTGACTATGCCTTGTAATTATGTACTGTGCAGACTTACAAGTTTATCTCAGTGCTGTATTTCTGCTGAGCTTGATTTGTGGTGTGGTGTCTTGTGTTTGTGGTGTTTAGGTTGCTCCCGAATCAACAGGTAGTGACACTGGCTTCTCTCCAGAGGCATTCCAACAGAGCTGCAGTTTGCAAGAAAATCTGGTTTCGAGATCATCTCATATTCATGAGGTCTCTTTTCATGTATCATATATCACTAAAATTAACTCTTACAGTATCTGGATTGATTATATCAATGGGGAATTGGGATTAGTGTTGGGCTGTTGTAAAACAGTAAAGAATCTTATGGCTCAATAATTTGCAGGGAATTTATTGACTAGTGAAGTGACTTTTCTACTTCTCAAGAAGGACTCTACTGTTTGGAATTAGTATGTGAAATGTGGAGATCTAGGGATAAATATTTAAATTTTATTACAGAAGGAATTTTGTATAACTTTGGCTTTTGGGTGATAGCTGTTTCAGATGTTAGGTGTTCACCAATGTTTCAGCAAACATTGGAGTTGTCATTAACACCAGATATCTGATGCAGCTGTCACCCAAAAGCTGAAGTTATATGAACTCCAGCCACAAAAACCTATAGACAAGAAAGGATTTTCTTAAATAGCTGAATAACTTTGTTTCTCTGTCAGTTCAGGTCAGGTCAGTTAATGAATTCCTGCATTGCACAAAGCATTTGAAACATTCTCAATTTGTATAAATGTGAATTGTGAGCAGAGCTGTTTATCTTATTAAAATAAAAGTTACGAGTTTCTCTGTCACCAACAATACATCATTTAGTATTTAGTTTTGTAGGAATTGTAATTATCAAAGACTCTTTATTTTAAAATAACTTTGCTAAGTTAATTTAAATTTGTTCATGTTTCAATAGCCACCAGAGAAAGTGAACGATGATGGTATGGTGTTTCCATGGAAACATCGAGAAATTCTCACATTTGATATTCCAGTCCACGATACTGAGAAGGCTGGTCTAGGTTAGTAAAATTAATTTTGTTTCCATTTCTTGAAATCTGTATCAATATTATGTGATTAATTTTTTTTTTCTTTAAAAATTGTCTTCTTGAAATTACAGGAGTGAGTGTTAAAGGTAAAACATCTGCAAGTCATAGCATGAACCATGGTAATGGAAGCCCTGGTTCATCATCAGTAGACCTAGGGATCTTTGTGAAGAGTGTCCTACATGGAGGTGCAGCCTCCAGAGATGGTCGTCTCCGAACTAATGACCAACTTCTCAATGTGAATGGGATTTCTCTTCTTGCACAGTCCAACTCTGATGCCATGGAAACACTTAGGTCTGTGCCCAACATTTTAATATTTATCAGCCAATTGTACCAGCATTATGTTCATCTTTTATGTATAAATACAAAAATGTGGAGTTATTGGTTGTTAAAGCAGGTGGAACATATAGTTAGCACTCAGTGTTAAAGGGTCAGGTGGCCTTATGAGAATTTGTAGCAGAAATGTAACAGGTTTTCACTGTAAAATGCAGAGAATATTGGAAGTTTGCCATATCGACATGTTTAAGGAACATTTATGCAAAAACGGCTGTAATGTATACTTTCTATTAGCCATTTATGGGAGTGCTGACATTAACTATAAACAGTTATATTCTTACGGAGGATACAATATGTTGCAAGTCAAAGTGTTGGAAGATGGTTTGATCTTACACATTCTAACTATAAATATTATAACTCCCATGAACATATATTGTTATCCTGATGCAGTGGCTGTGGAACAAACCTCTATATAATTTTTAATATAGTTTAGGAACCTGGAGATGACCACAAGGGCTGATCTGTTCATGTTCTCATCATGTGGTGTATTCCAGGAGGGCAATGCTGCACACGGAAGGACCGATACCTGGTGTGATCTCCTTGACAATAGCCAGAAGAGCCTCGTCCCCTGGACCTCACAGCCTTAGCAATGGCCTCCAGCATTCTCAGTCAGGTCATGATTCTGTGTCCAGTCTCCTCACAAGTTCCTCAGGTAAATTGTGGATCAGATATTCACAGTGTGAAGCTTGATATGTGATGGAAGTGTAATTTTTTTAGATGACTTAACAAAATGCTTCAGCCATCAAAATTTAAATTTATAAAGAGAATCGCTGTACACATTATCTGTGTTTGTTGTTTCAGGGACAGAGACGTCTGTGTGTATTAACAGCGTGAAGTCAGAAAATGAGGCATACACTCCAGATAACTCTGGTACAAGTGAAAATTCTGACAATACAGTGATCTTTTTACCCTATAAGGATGAAACTGATCATTCCAGAGAAAGCAGCCATCTAAGTGCCAAATCTTCTGACAACTGTCCAAGTAAGCCTAACATTGCAACCTTCTTCTTATTACCCATTACCAGACTGCTAATTCATGGACTATCTGACCATATTTCGTTTCTTCTTTTTTTTTTAGCGTTCATTACTCGTTGACTTCGTGAAGATTTGTGAAACTCAAGTTGGTGTACTTGTCACCCAGACTTTATTCTTTGCCCTTCCTGTCGGTCTTGTCTTATGTTTCACAGTTAATTCTGTGCAAGTGGATACCAGTGTTTTTGAGTAATGCTACATGGCATGACAAGCCATAAAACTAGAGTTGACATCTTTGCTACTTTGGGAATGTCAAATGATCTCCGATATTCCAAGAATGTTGTTGGCATGTAACATATTAGAGAAGGTAGTAATTGAAACCCTGTAGTCCACCAACAACACGCTGTGCTGCTGGTGTAGTTCAGTTCTAAATAATCATTAGATCCTCTTTTAGGCAGTCATCTTCAGACTCTTCATACTGTGAGGAAGAACGAATATGAAATCACTACAAATATGACATCAGTCCATTTTTTTATGAGGAACAGTTAAGATTGCAGTGCAGATTTGAACTTTCCTTATATAAGGAGCACGATTGGTTCTTAATATTAGATATAGGTAGATTAGATGTTATGTGCAGTAATCCACAGTAAATTTTCAGAGTCCATCTATTCTATTTTTCAGATAACGGAGAGAATGTTTCATCAAGAAATCCTGTTATTGATCGCCTAACGGGGCATGTGGCAACCCAGAACCCAAACCCCATGAGGAATGAAAGCTATTACCGAGCAACTCTTGAAACATGGAACGCTACAGTGCTGCTCAGTGGTGGGGCAGCTGATAAGCTGACTAGTCCAACGGTGAACTTGCCATCAGGAGAAATGGTGCTGATTGAGGAGGAGTACACACCACAAAACCTGCCTACAGTATCTCACTCCCACCGGTATGGCACTTCAGCTCTTCTTACAAATGCAAATGTTGGGTTTTGGTTAGCATACTGCTTTCATCTTCAGGGATGTGTTTTGAAACATTGCAATCTATCTTCAAATCTATACGTCATAAAATGTAGGTTTGGTTGAAAAGCCTTTATGGTGATGGCAAATCTGTTGAAACTGAATTATTGGAAATTTTACCATATTTTTAAAATGAACTTCTTGAAAAGCTATTGATATGTTAAGTTAGATGAGTGTGTGCTGCTGGTTGTTCTTGTAGGATAGGCAAGTCTTTACCAGAGAAGGCACCGCCATGTCAGAGAGGTGCGGCAGAACCAGATGGAAGGGGTGGTCTGACAGGAACATTTTCAAGTGGTGGCCCGGCATCTGATCAAAGCAGCGACATACATGCAGCAGATATAACCTATGCAAGCCAGTAAGGAAATGAAGTTTTCAAGAACTTCAAGCTCAACATGTTATTTTTTAAATGCGGCAACTGGCTTACAAATGTTAATAATTTGTAGTAACTGTTGCAATGTAACACACTAAAATTTCCTGTGCCTTATCCAGTGCATTAAACCATAGTGTGTAAAGGGGATTTTAATTATTTGGTCTGAAAGCATCAGATACAGTGAAATTAAATGATGCAGTGAAGGAACAAATAATGTATGAATTAGGTTTTATTTACATGGATTTTTTTTATCATGCTTAGACTATCACTGGAGGAAGCAGCTGGCTTCACAAGGGATGCTTTTGGACGGCAAAGTATGTCTGAGAAGCGTCATGCAACCTTGGATGCAAAACACACTGATACATACCAGCGCAACAAGAAGCTTAGGTTGGTTTGTTTGTGTATTTTCCAAATCCAAGTCCAAATTTGGAATTTCATGTGGAATAGTAGTACCTATTGTCTAGTGTGGACAAATCAGAATGACTTGATGAATTTCAGTAAGGACGCAATATTAATTGTAATGAAACTCTGGTAGGATTTGAGGTTTTCACATTACTGAGTCTGCAGATGGCTGTCTTATGGGTTATAGTGGCAAGTAGACTGGTAAAAGTTTACCATTGTTTCAGTGGTTTTTGCTGCCACCAACATCGCCCTGATGATGGAGGCAGCAGTTGGTAAAATCAAAATCTGTTTGTTTGTAGAGAGGAGCGAGAGAGATTGCGACACATGCAGCTCCAGCAGCAACAGCTTAATGACCAAAAGAGGGCAGAATTACAGGTTAAGAATAGAGGTAAGATAGAAGACATTCTGGAAAAGACTAACAGTGCATGCTTATCTTCATTTGTTTCAGTTTGTCTACTGAGGTTAGCAGGAACTATTAATTATGATATATGCTATTTAGTGATACATTTCTGTGCACAATTACAATGGCTACATTACATTTGTCAGCTATAATCTTAAAGTTTTTGCCATCGCCATGTTTTCAATTGACGACATGGAATGTGCAAGTATATGTTGTATCTCCATGTGCAAAACTTTGCTCCCATAGATAGCTTTAATGGATCATTAGCTATTGCCATAAAACTGAAAGCTAAATGGAATATTTTACTTGGTTTCCATGTAGTGGCATAATATTAATACTGAGCTTCATTAAAGTTTGTGCACTGGAACATATTGATGACAATGTCCCAGATTTCGCCACCAAAAAATGCACATATAATTATCATTTAATACAGGTGGCAAAGAAGCAAATGTTTTTGTTAATTGATAAGAAAATCCACTAACTTTTTTTTAACATGTATGTATAATAAAATGTTTTCAAATTTTAATCAATCTTTATTATTTCTGTGAGACAACAAACTGCAGCAAACATGTTGCAGATTGTTCTGACTTATATGTACTTTGGTGGAGGGAAGGAACTGTGTCACTTTATAGTAGAATGATGTTAATTAACTGTTCTTGTAGAAGTAGAACCCTGATTAAAAAGCAGAATTAAAGTAATTAGTAATGGGCTAACTTTAAGGGTGTAAGAATGAAGTTGATAAGGGCATACAATATTTTATTTTTAACCCATAATATTACAAGTATTTTGCCACATTAAAAACTTAACTTTCTTAGTTTTACGCACTGAATATTATGTAAATATTTCTATTATCTGTTTCATAGTGAAAATATTTTCTTAAATTTTATATTGTGACATTTCAGCTGGTCTATTTTTCGGTTGGTGTATTGTACAGGTGCTGAATCAATGTTCTACTTTATGTAAACAATGGTGTCAGTATTATGTAAGATTCTATTTATTGTAGATACTTCGGAAATTGATAAAAATGTTTAATCTGTTAACATATTTTCCATTCTATAAAATGCATGGTCATTTTAATGCCTTCTTTGCACCCAGTGCATAAAGGGAATAAATACATAATAGGAAAGTCACATCTTTCTGTCCAACCATGTGTTTCACCTTTTAAACTACATAAACATTTTTTTTTAAAAAAATATGCTGACATCTACACTGACAGCTGTCATATAAATGTTTGTCTATATGGTAACACTGTAACCCCAACTGTAAATGATGGACAGACCATTGAACATTCGCACATCTGCTTCATGTTTTGGAGGTCCTAGGTTCAAAACTTGACCCGGATTTTAAAATTGGAGAAACAAAAATGGCATGTCGGTCCAAAATTTTTTGAACCTGTTGGAGGTCCTAGGTTCAAAACTTGACCTGGATTTTAAAATTGGAGAAACAAATATGGCATGTCGGTCCAAAATTTTTTGAGCCTAAATGACATTGCTTTTGATTTTGCACTAAAAATATAACACCCTGTTTCTTGCCCCATGTTTTCACATAGATGATCAATCTAGTGCACTCCAAATTATTGTTAACAGCTTTAGTTTTTATGGGTTGCCATGAGTTATGAAGTGTGTGTTACATTAGCTTATGATGGATTTGTGAAGCCCATAAATTTACAAGTTATTAAAGATATGAAAATTTGTATGTCCTACTTCCATCGTGATTGTACCTAAGCGTGATCTGTTTTAAATTGTTTTTATTTCCTGTGTTTCTACTTTGTATGTTTATTGGGACGGATGAGGATGTAATGTTAAATGAACTAACAAAGTTCGTTATCTGTGTGTCTGACCTAAGTACTTCGTTATTAAATGTTTTTCATTTATTATTAACACGTAATATCTACTTTGATTTGTAAATTGCTGTACAGAGCATTGAAAAATGTTCTCTTCATCTGTTTTTAGTGAAACCAAACCGGGAAATAATAGCATCCAGTATGATTCGAGCCAACTCAATAGAATCTATAATTAGTGTAACTCGATCACAAGCTGACTCAGAAAGTACGTACTGGTTTGGTCCTGTTTTTCTCATTTTCAGTCTCATTAGAGTTTATTTTCTGTATGATCAGTATATATATATGAGTATATAATAGCAGATCAGAGTTTTATGTATAGTTCTGTTACGATGACAGCTTGTTATAAGTTAGAATCAGTATTCTTTGATTTTAGGCAAATTTAATAGTAACTAATTTGAGAATAACTTTACAATGATGTTGGGCCACCCGCTACTTTAGTGTTTCTGCAATTAATCATCTGAGTAATGTATTTTTGTACAATACAGAGATGGAGGTATAAGCAAAGGAATGACTCTGTAAAGGTGACCCAAAGTTATTTATATGCGAGACACTGTGTCTTGGGACTTTCCATTGACTGATATTTTTTTGTGTTATGTTACAAGTCAGTTATCCCAACAGAAGAATTGAAATAAGTACATAAACTTTTCAGTTTGTAATCTAATATCATTAGGGTGTTCAAGTAAAAGGGAATGAGATGGGCAGGACATGTAGCTCACACAGGGTAAACTACTGCATACAAAATGCTGGTGGTAAACATCATAGAAGATTTGGTTTGTGGTCTTGTAGGTTGTTTCAGGCATTTTTGAGGAACTTTTTGCCCTCCTCAGGTCTTGTATAATAGTACGAGACTGCTTTTGAAATCCATTTCAGTAGAACGTTGGTGATAAAGGACTATAAGTTATGAATATGTATAGTAGATTCATCTTGATCAGGATAATGTCTACTAGTATGTGGGCTTTCGTTATTATGGCAGTGCTGAATTCTGGTAACTATGAATGTCGTATGTTTCACACTCAGTTTTGACAAATGTTCCATTTATAATACTCCAGTGTATCTGATGCAGTCACTTGTTAAGGGGATTAACGCAAGAATTCATAGACTCGTACCTTTTTCTCTGTGTTGTGTTCTGTCATTTGTTAATATATTGCATGTTGGAAGTCTGGTCAGAAATAAAACGAATGAGCATGATGTGTTTGTATTGTGTAGCATGTTGTTAATGTCACTACCCCTTGATCTATTCCTAAAACATTTGCTTTTCATAAAAGTGTAACATTTGTATTATCTGGTTGTTTTAAATTAACTGATCGTTAATATGGATTTGTTACTTAAAGAAATTCCATTTGAGGGCTTATAGTAGTTTTGCTATTTAAATTAATATTCTGTTGAAGTTAGGATTTTCTTGACTGTGTTAGTAATATTTACTATATCACAACTTTTTTATGTATAGGATCAGATGTACACACAAAGAATGAATTTGGTCCATCACTAGGGATGAAAAAATCATCAAGTTTGGAATCATTACAGACAATGGTGCAAGAAGTGAGTATAGTATATCTGAATTCAACTTTGATAAAATAAGTTGGCCGTGACAAGTGTGTTTATCGTTTATGAATTTATACACATTCATATGTGAGACATATGACTGGTAAATACAAGTTTACTTTACCCATTTATCTGATTATAAACTAACGTTGGAAGTAAGACAACCTTACCAACAACACCTGACTGGCTGCATCTGGCTAACAGTACATTTTGCCTGATTAGTTCTGCTGTGTTACAGTGTATGGAGTACCACTGAATCAAGAAAGTAAGACAGAAGACCTTCTATTTTTTATTTTTTCACAGGGTTAGCCAGACCAGCACGTCACACTTAATTAACATGAATGAATACTTGTAGAGCCAGTATTCCACATTTGGCATCATTCTTTTTGTTTACCAGAAGTCAAGACAGAAATATGGAATCACATCCAATGGATGATACCTCATTAATAAGTGTTCCTCAAGTGTGGAGCCATTATCTGTAACAGCTCAAAAAATATTCAATTTGGTTATTTGTGTGCATACATGGCAGTAATAGTAATGAGAATCTGATGATACTGCTTCAGAAATATATTTACTGTGTATAGATATGTGAGTTTCAAGGTTTGTCACAGTTTACGGACATGTTTTCCCAGAAACTGTTCACTTGGGTTTCCTTTATTTTGTTTTTAAATCTAATACATTCAAGGCAAGTTATGAATTCATATTTGTTTATACAGATTCAAATGCAGGAAGATTCTGATCCAGCTTACACATACCGAAATGCTCAAGGTGCAGTCAGGGTGATTCGAGGCCGAGGCTGCAACGAGAGTTTCAGAGCTGCTGTGGATCGTAGCTATGAAGCACCTCTCTCAGACCTGCGCTCTAGAATTGAGATGGAAACTCGTAAGTTTATAGATATAAGAAAGTGTCATGAACAGTAGACACAGTTTTCTTTCAGCTCGTACTTTGTTTTTCTGACAGTTTAATTTTGTAAGAGTAAGAATTAATTTAAGTAGCTGTATCTACAAGTTATTTTGGTTTCTAAGTACTGCACATGAATGGCAAGTGGAGGTGAGTTGTCAGATTCATCATCACACTACCAGACCCAGTTTGGTTGTGATGGTGAGCAAAGAAATTTCAAAGGAACTGTATTGGCCAGTATTGTCTTAAAACTATGATATGATGTGATATCACCTGTAAACCATGGTATCATGATTCCTAGTACTTTTCCAAAATTTCTCTGTATTCTCGTATTAAAAATGTTAAAATGCATGGCTTGTGGTTTTCTTTCCAACCTTCCAACCTGCAAATGACGGCTTCAGCAAGTGGCAAAACTGAAAGCTTTCTGTTCAATCTGATGTGTGTAAATATTCTTCTGTTTGATGGTTTCATTTAATCACAACTAACATTAACATACTAAGTCCATTTTGAGAGAAGAATACCTCTGCCATGTAATATTATGTATAGTTTATGTGGTGCTTTGCTGTGTCTGCTTCTTGTTCTGCATTACCATGACTTCTCATTATAAGCAGTAGATAGGAATAGTTGTGTATATATGAGAATGAAAATTTCTGCTATCCGTCATTTTCAGTGAGAATAATAATATTGCTATTACCTAATCCAAATATTAAAATGTACATATTTCATTGTTCTCAACCTTATTTCCATGCTTTGGTGTAACTAAACAAAGATTGTTTCTTCCCTGGGGGAAAAAAAGAAAAAAACTTTGTTGTATCTTACTGATAAAATGGAAATGTTAATTTTTCAATCTGTGTGGCTGTCATTTAGAACTGGAGGCACGGTACAATGCTTTTCTCTAACTGCTTGACACATACACTAACACTTGTATGCTTTGTTGCTGGCTTGCGATATGGGTAACTGCTCCTCAGAAACAAGTGTAAGACAAGAGCTGCAGGCTTGGCATCTTGAACCCAAACATCGGTTCTTCCCCCACACAGTTGCAGAGGAAGACGGGCCCCCAACAGTGAGTGTGCCTGTAGACTGTGGGCCAGGAATGTGTCCCAGTGCTTTTGGGTCAGTTCGAGGTGGACCCAGACAGTCTTCACTGAATGCAATTTTGGACAACAAGAATAAGCCAGGCAAGAAGAAGCCTGGACTCTTCAGGGGTATTGGCTCCATGTTCAGGTGTGTGATTCAGGTGACATCTAATGAGTATGAGGTAGGGGTAGAGCATTCGTATTAACTGTGTTAGCCCAGCAACACTTTGACAAACAAAAATAAAAAGTCTTCCCTTCACTGCTTAGTGGTATTCCATATGCTGGAACACAGCAGTAATGGTGAGATAAAATGCATCATTAGTCAGCTTCAGCCATCCAGGTATTGTTAGCCAGGTAGTTGAGGCTAACACTTGCTGTGAGTGTTCTGCTGTGTTCCAGTCTGTGGAGTCCAGGCTAACATGGCTGTTACTGTTAACATCAATGGTTTGCCCTTGGTATTCGAGGAATAAAATCCTGGTCTTTGCTTGGCAACGTCTGCTGTCACCTCTAAAAGTCTCAAAGTTCACAAATGTGGGGAATAACGGACTCCCACCATTATGCAGAACTCGTATTAACCTTCAGCCGTGTGCTGCGTAATGTATAGTCTTCTGATGAAACCAAGTTCATGTAAGCAGATTGCCAGTCCATCCATAATGTGAGCCTTGAATGTTTAAACCAGTGGTTTTGAACATGGAACCAGCCAATGTCGTTTGTACAGCCTGCGTACATGTTTGTAGTGTTGTATCACTCTGTATAATGAAAATTATTCAGTAACGAACGTGGTTGCAGTTATAAGTTTGTAGCATTTTTTCAGTATATAACCCAGTGGTCTAGAAGCCTAGAAGGTAGGGTGAATGTTTCAGATTTGGTAAACATCGCAAAACTCTGGATGTGCCGCTGCAGCTAGCTCTGCAAGTGGAGCAGGAGGAAATGGAGGGGGGAGAGGGGTCATGTGGTAGGGAGGAGGAGAGAGAAGCAGCACGCAGAGCTGCTCAGGAGGAACAGCAGAGGATACAAGAACAATACCGCCGACTCATGCAGCGACAGATACAATTAGAGAGCCAAGTGAGTCTCATGTTGGTACTTTTATGTTGAATATAACAATACAAATTCATGGTGCTGTGTGTACCAGTTTGATCTTATGTTGCTGTGCCTTAGGTGTGGTCTCTGCCCACCTGTCTAAGGTGATGGTAGGAACCCACATTTTAGATGGAAATATCCAGTAAGCAACCAGTAACAACTTTAGTGGCTTCTGTTAATAACTCCAGTCAAGAAAACTTGATATGTTTACAAGAAGCTTTGGCTAAAATGTGATAAAAGCACTAGCAGCAATCTTGTTTGTGTTATTCTTTCCAGACTATAAATCCATGTGTATTAATTTTATAAAAAAGTTACAAAATTGTTACACTGCTATGATTAAGAATATTGATGTTGCTAGTGACACTTACTCCACTGAAGATGTAATGATTCTGCTGTCATGATTTAGTTTTTGATCTTCATTTTCTGAAAATACGGTATGCAGTGTGAAGGTGGTGTTAAGACGACACATTCAAAGCTTGACCTAAAGCAGAAATCAGTCTCACCAAAGCCATAATCTCAACCAACGGAAGGTGATAATAATCTCTGAATTGCTTAAATTTATGGCAGTGTTGTGTCATGCTTCTTTTTCATGATTTATAAACCAGATTTCCAACAACCTTCATGAGCATTCTGGCACCAATGCAAGTTCTGAGCCTGGAGGTCCTTTACCTGTCGGAGTCCACCATTCACACCATCGTCGTGAGGGCTCGACGTCCTCGGCATCAAGCCAGGCTTCTGCAGCACCAGGGGGCCCTGGTGGCCAATCTCGCACAGAGCGCATCCACCAATTACGGGCCCAGCATCAACGTAGACATGCTGAGAGGAGGGGTCAGTATCCCATGGATGACAGGGAGGAAAGATACGAAGAAGTTATTAGACAGGTGAGTAGAAAATGAAGGATAAAGTATTCATGTACAAAATGTCTATTATGTGTTCTTTGCCTGAAGTGCATAAGCAAGACTGCATTATGGGCTGGTCATATGTCTGTCTATCTAGACAAGCCACTGGGTGGATTTGGACAGACCGTAAAGGCAGAAAGAATGCTGAGAAAAATACTAGTTCAGAGTAACATAAAGAGCCTGATTTCTCAGAACATGCAATATCCGATGCTCTAAAATCAGTTTAATACAGTCTGCTGCTTAAAAATACAATAATGAACAGAAACCTTGTATTATCCAGAATATGTAAAAAAATTATAGGTTAAGCTATCATGATACAGAAATGTTTTAAAAAATTGTTTCAAGACTATGTATATCAAGACTGGATGTCGCTGTTCTGGTGCTCATTGTCTCAAGAATAATTATGTGTCATTATATTTGTTTTGGCAGAGATTAGAACAGCCAGAATTTTCAAACACCCAACAGCAGGCGCCTGTGCGGTCAGCGAGCTATGATTTGTATGGGGAAATGACTCGTCCTGGCAGCCGTGCTGGCATTACTGATCCAGCGCGCTTTAGTCATTATGTCAACTATGAAGAGATTCAACAGCATCTCAGGTAAGTTGTTCATGAAGCCTACAGTGATGACTTTCATGTATCTGGCATGCCATTTTTATTGAGAATTGGTTTTGTGGTATTGCATCTGCATTGTAACTGGGAATGATTTACACCAAAGTTTCAGTGGTTCTTTTTTATATATATATTTTGGGGCACTGTCTTAAAGACAGGCTTTGGTCTTTCTTTTCATATTTTCTATTTACTTCTGTCATTGTCGTCATTAGTTTGGCAATAGCAAAGTTCAAAGAAGTATAATATCTGTGCTGTACATTTTTGAGTTATGGGGTTGGTAGCATATTACATACAGTCTGGGACAAAATAATAATATTTTGAAACAAAGTTAATGTTTTGGAAAGTGAATATGGTTGAACAGTCTTACATCATGATATCAACAATATAAAATGTACTCTTCATATTTTATTCTTGTGATTATACAAGTGATTAAATTAATAAAGATGAAGCATGTAGCATGCATTGGGAAACAATAAATGTATACACAGTTCTGGTTGGAAGGGCTTATGGGAAAAGACTGCATGAGAGACTTCTGTATAAATGGAATAATAATATTACAATGGAACATAATGACATAGATTTTAAAAACATCTTAAGTTTTCATGGCAATTAAATGAAGTGAAATCTTCTCAGGCAGTAAGCTGCCTTGATATAGGGAATGTGTCCAACATTTCAGACACCATCTGTGACAAACCAGATATAACGTCTGGTACAAATATTAATTACGTTACGTATATAGTATATAGTATAGACTTTGCAGAGCCTAGTAATCAATGTCCAGGTAATGGCCAGTAGTTGTGTGAACTTTTTAGCCCAGTCTTATAGTATAGGAACCTCTCAACAATCTGGTATGTTCTAGACTCAAGTCTTGCTTGTTGATGAACTGGTCACCAGTTCTGATTGTGAAGATGGTCTCCAAAAACAATGCAAATGCACAAACAAGAAAATGTAAAACTCTGTTTATATCCTCCCACATTTATGTGCTGAGGTTCCCACAGCTGTGAAGATGTCAGTTGTGGTCTCCTAGGTTGTGATATCCTGTGGCCTTGGCAGTTATCAAAATATCAGGATGAAGATTTTACCCTGAAGAAGGAGGCAATACATTACTCCATAATACTGGCAACCACTGACAGGACCACACGACATCACAACTCAGAAGAGAATGACTGATGTCTTCCTAAGTCTGTTTGGAGATATGAAGTTCAATGCAGATCATGTAGGAACATTGATCAGAAACAGAGTATTAATATCTGTTGTTATTGAATTGGGTGACAACTTCAGTAATGCCAGGCACTCAGACCACTGCTGGGTCCATTGTATGCCCTTGATCTTCGTAGGGCCCTTCAGAGTGCCTTGACCACAGTACTAGAGCCAATACCAAACTTATTGAGGCTCAATTAATATTTATCGGCTGTAGCCATGCAGATTCATTGATCTCCATTTTATGCTTAGGCAGTAATGGACATTGACAGTATTGTCCACTTTTCCTGCACATTGCACTTTCTGAGAGGAGCTTGGTATGTGGGTGCTACCTCAATGTACAATGGCCATTTAACAACCTCGTTACCATCCTGCATTGTTCACAGTCAAAGGCCAGTAGTTCCCTTGACAGTTTGTTCAAAGGTATTCCTATGCAGAACTTTGACCTCATACCTGGTGTGGCAGCCCAGTTTTTCAGAGTTCCCCTAACATGACATCCATAAATGATATCCAGAAATTTTATTGCTCTGTAAACAAAGTCTGAAGCTCCCAAAAGGACCAGTTTAGGTTGTGCACTCAATCATATAAAAGACTATTTTCAGCACAAACTTTTTCTGAGATTCTGGGTTCTCTGGTACTGATCTGAACAGTTTCCACTGCACTTGGGATCATTTTACACTCATGTTTATGCTCTAACGCTCGTCACAGTAAAACTAACGAACAGTTCTTCTTTTTCTTGGGTCTTGCAAGCAAACGCAAAGAACAGCTCTCTGAAGTTCAGATAATGCAAATGAGGCTCCAAGTTCAGCATCAGAGGTTTAAAGTTGAAGAAGAAAGGTAGGAACACATACGGATCAAAGTAGCAGTAACCACTAAAAACGTAACATTCAACCTACATGACTTGCAGATGGCATTTGGTGGTCTTCTATTAAATTTATTAATTTCTCACATGACTTTTTGTTATAATTTTATTCTTATAATAATAGTTGAGCAGTGATTTTGCTTTTCTTTTATGTTATTTTAGTTATCTTATAATTTTATTTCTGATTTCATTAATAATGTAAATTGCAAATAAAGATAAAAATATGGTGTATTCGGTGTATCTAACACACCTACCATGTATTTGTGTAAATAGCTTGCATGTTTATTACTTGATGTTGTGCTTTCTTAGTATATATTTCCTTGCTTTCAGTGGTAGAAAAGTGAATGCATGCTCATGCTGTTTTGGTGTATGTACTTTGATGTTGGATGCCTCACTGCAGAGCAGCGTGATGTGTACAGATATGTAAAACATAACTTCAATTTCACTATGTAAAGGCTTGCTGTTTTCATACTTGTCGATAAGTTTATGTTTATCAATAAAACTGGAACTTGTCTGTGTTGAACTGTTACTTGGACATCAAATGGAAGAAGTTTAATACGTGTTACATCACCAGTATAAAATTATGCCAAGTACTGAAGCATCCAAATGTCTGATTCTTATTCTTAATGTAAATATTGCTAATTGAAGTAGCAGCACATTGCATACAGAGCTCATTTACCTGTAAATGTTGTTAAGTTTATGGATTGCATGCTATAATGCTTTATTTTACATTTAAGAAATGGGATTGTGAGAATTAAGTGAATTTCATTATTGTGTTTTGTACTAAATGCAAAACTGTGCAGAAAATGGAGAGCAAATGTAGGGAATAACTACTCTCCACGATAAGATCCCAGCATGGAATTGGGTATGGGATATCTATACTAAAAGTTATCTGGTGTGTTTCATATATATCTACTACAAACCCTACTTCACATGAAGATCAGTCAGTCAGCCAATCTTCTGAATAATGGCACATTACACACAAAATAATTTTTTTGGTATAAATAATGGTCACGTGACAATTTAGTTTTGTTACAAACATTTTTAATATGGTGTATGTTTAACAACATATATTGAAACAATATTTTATAACTCTATGAGTGTAATGTCTTTACTCTTAGTTAGCATTGCAATGAGTGGAATTTATGATTTATTTAATATACTGTTGATTAGCTCAATCTGCAATAAATGATCATCAGGACCAATGAAGGGTACAAGATTGTAAAGAATGCATTTGTACAGCTTTCCACTCATTTTTTATTGTTTTGAATTAATGACCAACTCAGTTCAGGTAGCTGTCTGCTCAGGAACAATAAACATGTTCCAGGAGGCCTTTGGGCACTGTTACCTAAACAGTACAGTAACTTAAGGAAGTCAGTAACACATGTTTTGCTTTTCTGTTTCATTTTCAACTTTTTTTGGATTGTCATTTTTTCATAAAATTGAATAATGTGTCAAATACTGATGGACAGTCACCCAAAATATTTATTTTGATGAACCAGGTCCTTGATCTTTAACCAAAATTCTCTTCCATTTTGTGATCAGTCGCAGGCAGCAACATTATCACTCTCAGCGCCGTGACAACCGTGAATCACACCAGAGACCAGTCTCAAATTTCTATGAGTATGAGAGCGTACAAGGTGTGATGCAATCAAGTCAGCACCGAGATGATGTCAGGTCAAATCTGCTTCAAGATGAAATAATGAGATCCAGTCAGAATCGAGATGAAGTTATGAGGCCCAACCAGCTTCGAGATGATGGCACAAGGTCCAATCAGTATAGAGATGAGAACAAGAGGTCCAAGCAACATCGAGATGAAGTCATTAGGACCATTCAGCATAGAGACGAGACCATGAGGTCTTCTCAGCATCGAGAAGAGAGCCAAAAGCATAGACTGAATAAAGATGATATTCTGAGAACAAGTCAGCATCAACATGGAACCACCATCACTGTCGACAACAACTCTAACTCCTTACAACGACGGATGCAGTTGCAGGATAACAAAGGAGCAAACAACAAAAATAACAGTAAGTATTCTTATTGTTTGTGTTCCATGGTTAAGTCTTTGTAAAAATAGCACTAACTGTGTCAGTGCATCTCAAGTAAGGTATAAGAACAGATTATTATTTACTGCTTAACAGAGGTCATTCTTCATTCATACAGGAAGTTTTTAAAACACATTTTCAAATGTGGCAATGTCATTTACAAGTTGAGGTTACTGATTCATAACCTTTAGTTCTAATATCAAGTGGTCTTGTAGACTACATGGCACCACAACCCAGAAAACCAACATCGACATCTTCACCACAGAAAGAACCTAAAATATGAGATACGAGTTGGTTTAATCTAGTGATTTGCACAAAGCGGTAATGTCCTCGACACATTATTAGCTAGTTAAAAGGCATAACTGATGATGTGGATAAAAGTTAGAATATTCCTAGTGTTGGATGTAACCATTTGGTTTTGTTACAGATAGTGCAAACAGCTATCAACACCCGTACCAGTCTTCCACAAGTTCAAAATATAGCTCCAGTAGTAACACCCACGTAGTTAATGTAAATGGTAACAATCATCACATGCGAACCTCACATACGCATGACATAGATCAGCAGAACAATCGTAGTGGTAGTAATGGTGGTGTGAACGGTTTGCCCACACTTCCCCTTGTCCATAACATTGGCCCATCAAATCATCACACTCATGGGAACAGAGGTGTTAACATTTTGGGCTCTAAAATCAATAATATCACAGGGCGGACACAAGGACCATTCGTTACTCACGTCACTATTGGTCAACAAACAAGCCAGACTCAGCCATCAGGATCAAAAGTGTAGTATTTTGAAAAAAATGAAGAGGATTTTAGTTTCAACACTGTCAGGAGGAGATTTGATGTGATGTAAATATGACACTTCTGTGTCATTTGAAAGTACCTGTAAAAATGTTCATAGTGGCCATATGATCTTATAGACATTTAAATTAAATAAATATTACTGAACCATTATAGAACATGAGATATTTATATAAATTTGCCATTTTTGTGCTACTGATATATTGAGATGAATGAGAAGAAACAAGCAGTGTGGCAGAGAATAATATTAGCAAATGAAGGAATGCATCACAACTTGAGCATCAGAGCATCGTAGAGATTTATTATGTTTGAAACATAGATTTTATATGAATTTTTATTCCTAATAAAGATATCTCAGAATTTATGGAATAAAGACATGATCTTACAATCATTAAGAGTGTGAAGTGTGGTGCATAAATGTGTGTGCATATTCTGAATTGTGAGTTCTGTATGCAGGTATATGAGCCATTTATAAAAACTAATAAATTTATGAATTTGTTTAATAATGATGCTATGAAGGCAAGTTTTTAAGTGCAATTGAAATGAAGTGCTGAACATTTAATATGACAATAACCAGTAGATATAATTTTCATTGTGCAGTTTTAGTGGCATACAGTACTAAAATGTTGCATGTGAAACAAGTCACAATTTTAAATAATTATTGTATCATACATGTTACATATATGTAAGCTTTTATATGTGAAATTTATTATTGGATGAGTGCATCTGTTGATTTTTACAGTGAAGGGATTTAGTTTTATACATTACAAACGAATGCTAATGTTTTTTCCTTAAACTGTATTGTCAGACTGCACGTTTTTAAATAGAGTTATACCTCTGCCTGCTGTTTGATGTTTATAAAAATTCCTTCCTTGCCATTGCTCCTTTCATTTTTACAAGTTTCTAGTGACATAAAGTGAGTTTATTAAACATGCTACTAAATTAGACATACATTTTCTTATAATGAGTTTTCCAGAAATATTTTATATTGCTTTTGCTTGAGTAATGCTTCAATATCAGGTTTAATTTTTGTTGTGATTTACATCCTACTAATGTTTACATTTTGAAGCCTTTAATTCAGTTTATTTCTTCACTCACAGAAAGTATAATACACATCTATTACTAGGTGAGGAACTTAATGGGTTGTGTAGGGTTATGTCTAAAAAGCAGCCAAGAAAGTCAACCATACAGAGCTGGAGTCATGAAGGGGAAAATTGGGCCAAGTTCAGCCCAGTAGGAGAGAGGAGCAAGAAATATGGGCTACCACAGAGGGATACATGACCAAAAAGATGACACACTGATTTTCTATCTGAGTACATTTATTCTTACCATATCCTAGCTAACAATAAACATATACACTATCAGCTGTAACAACATTAAAAAGTCTGGTTATTCCTGGCATATTCACATCTCTGTTGGTGGATACACTGATATGAATGAAACAATTTTTATATGTGGGCTACTAACGATTTGGCAAGTTTACAGTCATTTGTGTATGATACGTGTAGCGCAAGTAGTGGTATTGTTTGATATTACAGCAGCAGGGGATAAGAATGATTCTCTTTGACTGGTGCTGCCATCTAAGGTTGTTGTGATCCTCGCTGTAATATTTTAGTCATTTAATGTTGGCTGCCATGGAGAGCGTTTGCAATGCATGTAGTGGCTTTACTTTTGTTTGATCAGTGACATCACCAAGAACTGTAGAAGCGCCGTTAATGAACGACTCTTCGTGTAAATGTATTTGGTTTTCTATGTTTTGGTTTATACTAGAATAATGAAATTCGTAAGTGTTTAATTTAATTTCGCAGCATATCTTTCGTACGTATTAAGTTCTTTCACGAGTGATGAATAATGAAGTGAATCGTCTTTCACTTGGTTCGAGTTCTTGCTTTCTTGTAACGGAAATTTCAAGTTGTGGTTACAACGTGGCACGTGTTTTCCGATAAATGCTTTACATACAGCAATATGCAACTGCAAGTAGATATAACAACAATAAATAACTATTTATAATTTATCTGTTTAGTTCGTTTTTGAGCGCTCGTGTCATTTTGAATTTGGCGCTAAATATGTCGACACCAGATTTTGTAGACGGGATTTGTTTGAGTTCGGATCACGACGGCCTTTTAAGTGTTCCTGAAGAACGTCTGGTGAAGCTTATCAACAGGGAACCTATATCCAACATCTATCATGTGGAACACACACCATTCGCGAGGTAAGACGCATTTCACTGTCCTGTCACGCCCCTTTTAAATGGTTGTGAACAAAAATTTTATTAGGGACTTTTAAATTATACCCAGCACAAGTATAAATCACCTTGGTGGCACAAGATTTCACTTGTAGTTTTTACTCGTGATTAGTGTTTGCAGGAGCACATGTGTACGGTATACAGTTGTTGCCTGTGAAAAGTATATCGTCATTAAATTCTGAAGTTGCTTTCTCTAATTACAGCCTTGAGGTCTATAAACTGCAGTTTTAATACTTGCGGTCAGTACCTACACGGCCGTCATTTGACGACAGCGTCGTTAATGTTGCAGAATGTGGCTTATGTGCTTTGTCACTAATTAAAAAAAATGTAGTTCTTGACTGTTTATAACGTAGGTAGTATTGCCCAGTCGAAAGTCATGTAAATGTTGGCTGAGTGTGTAAAAAAATGTAATAGTCGATTACCTCCTACATTTGACTACAGTGTTGTTAATACCTTTAATAATGTTGTTTTTATTTGAATTCGTTCGGTAACTTTGAAGACATAGAGACTTCATAGTACAGGAAGGTTTGCCGAAAATTTAAATTTTGATGGGGGATGACGGATATTTTACTGACCCTGAAGGTTCTCAGGCAATGCCCGCTCGTCCTTCTGAAAGTAAGGTCATTAAAGGAATTGGAGGTCATGAAAACGTCGCATACCTTTTGAAGGATATGATTACGCTTGTATTGCACTAGTTGTTTATTGCGTCTCGGATGTGAAGTTTTGTGTTTCGCGTCGCCATACGAAATGTCAACAGTTTAATGAAGTTAAGGTAAACGTTTTCATGTACTAGAAAGGTTAATGGAAACGACAGAGTTACTTAAAAGGGAGCGAGAAGAATAATTTTTTGTTCGGAAAATAATATGAATCATACGTAGTCATTGTGACTGTTTAAAATATTTGAAGTTGGTGTGTTTAATGGCGGACAAATGCGACTCGTCGTGTCCAGTGGCGGGTTTTGGTACGATGTTCGGTTTTGATTTATTTTGCCAGAAGATATTTTACGTTATCGATTACACGATTTTCGATAATGCTACTTCGGTCCGGCCCTGTCGGAGTTGTTTATCAACTCTTTTCTGTAGTTTGAATAAAAATTTCCTTGGATATTATCCATCGTCTAGTAAAATATAAAATATAAAACGTAAAACGTTTTCTGTAGTCTTATCATGCTGTTCTACTGAGTTTTGGCGCCGCGTAGACTCGTCAGTAGATGCCAACGTTTCGGCGAAAGAAAATTTCTCCATCTTCAGGACCACCGCCGTGAAAATCTCAGATTTCACATTTCTGCAGCCTGTTATGCCGGAGATGTGTTGGCAATTGAAAGAACGCGGTGACTGTCATATGGGGTGTTGCGCCGATATTCGCCCTGATGATGGAGGCAGTATGCGCTTCCGAAACGGCAGTCAGTTTCTACGAGACATTCCATAAGATAGCTGTCTCGATGTGAAATATAATTGAAATTCACGCGTTCGAAGACAAGAGCATGTAAATATTAAGCGGTAAGCGTGATTTGTAATTTCGGTGGTACACAATTCGATTCTCGTTGGTCCCACACGAGGTTTTCCTTCCTAGTGCCAAATAAATTCCGCAGCTGTACCTTGAATCAGTCCCCCCGTCCCAGCTTGATTTACGTTTATTCCACGCTAAATAACCTCTGCACTTGAAACATCGTTGGTTAACGACGCATTCGCCACCGAACGACGTCTCTGGGGCGTTTCTTGCGATTGGGCAGTTTACATTTCAGATTAAATGGCGAATCCCAAGTCGCCATCCTGTGCCAGACACACGGCAAGATTTTTTGTTCCCGAAGCTAAAATTACGGAGATCATTGAACGTTTGTTTGTTGCCGCTGGGAAACGATGGTTACAGTTTCGTAAGCTTCCTTATCTAATGCCCCCTCCAGTCCCTACTGTTCCCCTTGGGTTTTAATTCTAACGGATGTGGAACTCACTGATTCGTCCAGCTCCTGCACGTAGAAGACTCCACCGACGCTCGGAGAATGTGCCTTCAGCCTTTAGGCTAATTCTTAGCCTTCCAGAGGATCCGCATTCCATTTTGTTCGTTCTGAAGTCAGCTGAGCTTCGCTGTCATTCATTCATCTCGTCCGGGTCATCAGAGAGGAACTTGTCAGTGGCGGTACATCTGATTTATTTATAGCGAAAAGCACGTGTTGATTGTGTATTTTTCATTATCCTTTTCTCCAAACGGGAGCGACGGTGAAGTTGTTTCCTTGAATTTGCATTCTGCAACATAATTAGCATCAGGTTTTGGGTTTTCGGTCCCTTCCGCTCCTCTGTTTTGGTTCGTATTTGCGATGTGGTCTTTGTGTTTTGAATCGTTTGTTTGCATACATCGATCACCAATTTCACAGCAAAGGATGCGGTAAAACTTTCTCTGTGATTAGGTAATCGGTACGTCGTCGTAATAGCTTTTGGTCCATTTGATGGATGTTTATAAAACTTGGTTTGCGCGTCATGCCACGTGGCCTTGAAACAGGATTTCCCACGTAACTCGGAAGTGACGTTGTGACTGTCTCTTTACCCGGTAGTTCGCTCGCTGCTTCTGTGGCATTCTGTCGTGACGGGCTCCGTAACAGTGACACACCCTGTATTTTGTATCCTGTCAGTGACATTGGGACCTAAAATTTTGTGTGGTAATAGATAAGCCTTTTAAGAAATAAACTTTTATAAGGTAATTTGTGTAGCGTTATATAAAGATAGTCGCCGCTTCGAATCTGTGTCTGGGTTTGGATTTGGCTGCCATAACTAGGGAACCGTTTGAGCCAGCTGTGCCCAAATGTGGCACAGAGACATCGTAAAACAGTTTGTGTGAAACGTTTCTAACCTGGAGATTGTGGCTGACAAATTAACGTACTCGGGGGTGTGAATGAGTGAAAATATTAGTAGAAATCATGCGAAGAGATGTTTCACTAAACAGCGGTTATAATTTATAAGTGATTTATGCTGATCTTGATGATAGGTTTAAACATTTGAAGAAAATATGCGACTGAAGTTGCTTGTAGGTCACATAATCTGAGAAGGGGAGTTCCTGTACTTCCGCCTGGTTTTGCATGTCTGTCGGACTGAAAACCGGAAAAGGAAATCCCCCCCCCTCCAAGAAGCTGCTGCCTGTAGGCGGTCCGGTTGATCCAGCTCTTGATTGAATGAATGGCGTATGTGCGTTCTTCTAATTAATGAGAGTAGATGGTCATCGTGCGGAATTTGAGTAAAGTTTGTTGTTTAATTATTTATCTACCTGCCTTCTTGCATGCGTATTGTATATCGAGAATAGACTAGCTCTTTTAATTTATTTCAAAGATGACCCTTTCGTACAAGAGTTATTTCAGACGTTATTTTTATAGCCTTAAAATTGACGAATTTGGTCACTTACTGATAAAGAGTTAAATAGATTGATGGAAAATTTTGTTTGTAAATCATCATCGGAAAACGCCACATGGGAAGATAATATTTAAATGTATCGTATAAATGGACTGAACCGGTTCATAAATGGGTCATATGGGCGACTTTTGGAGCGATGAACCTTCGGGTTTCATAGCAATGGGGAATTTTTTATCGCGTCAGTAACTATGATGTGATGGAGACAGTGGAATCGCATTCGTGCTCTTATTTAATTAGAGACAGGCAGAAGAGTCATATCGTACACAAATTGAAAATGAATAAGAATTCCAGTCGTGGCTGGAAATCGTGGCTTGGAGTTGTTCCAACCAGGAAGCTGAAGCTGATGGTCAGGTTCTGAGTCGCATCCCATCAGCTGGGGTCTCCAGCGTAGTCGTCTTCCCGACGTGCGGTTCTGCATATCTCCTCAAGTTAGCGCGAGGCCGATGGCAGTGCGTGGATGGGTCGTGACCGTTCGAGAATTTCAATATACCTGCAAGGCAGCATAACCTGAATTATTTCCCCAGTTACTTCAATTTGAAGTAGGTGAGAGACTGCCCGCATGACTAAACCGCTTCAGAGAGTCGTTTTCCTATTCAAGACCTTTCTGTCCACGAAGCAGTCGCGGGCGACACTCGGGTACGATTGGAAAGATTGGATACCCAGTTTGTAGTCCTAGGGACCCACTGGCGCGACTAGCCGCGTGCGGCGTGTCGAGTGTTGTCGCGCGCGGCTGTTATTTGTATTGCTTTTTATAGGTGCGAAACCCACTGACGTGGCGCGGCTAGTCGCGCCAGTGGGAAAATCGAGTTATTGTTTATTGTAACAGGTGGTACGTGAGGTGTCACCGTAGAAGACAGTCATCTTCAGACTCACCGCCGTGAAAACCTCAGATCCTACACAGTGTCGCCGTCGTTTAAAAGTTTAAGCAACCCTGGGTATACGATCTGTCGCTTGATCATGCGTCATTAAGTAGAAAAATTATTATTACTCCAATCTGTTGCTAAGAAACGTAAAGCTGTCACGGTTGGACCTTCAGTTAAGGCCACAGTTGAGTCGACTCATTCGTTCTTCTCCCGTATTTGAGCAGGAAATGCCTTCTGTTTCTGTTCGAACGCAATGCAGAGTCCACGCCACCTTTTCCGATTTTATGCGTTCTTTGAACTCGAAGAACGTAAAGTGAACGTTTGTCCTTATGTTTAATGTCGTGAACCTCTTCGATTAAACTTTGTACTGAGGTGAAAACTAAAAGTTGCGTCAACTTCGTATTCCTTGGAAATGGATCTTCACGTAAAAGATTGTGGTATTACAAATTAAGTATTTCGTTAGATTTGTTTCTCAGATTCCATAACCTCCTTGATTGTCTTACCAATATTACTGAGCCGATAAGTAGAACCCTACATTTCTCACCTGCTTTTTAATCTTGAGCACCTGCAATTTATGTTTTGTTTCCTCAGAAGTAAGATGCAGTCCTCGCCCACCTGCGCCAGCGATCAACAACTCTTCATTTTGTACTCAGCCACCTCGAAGTTTTCATTCTAATCTTACCAGGATTTGGAATAATTTTACGTT